CTATTAAACCATTTATAACCATCGGTAAGTGTTAATATTGTAGCAGAACAGGTTAAGGAAAGATTACTGTTTTGTTAAAATTTCCATGAGAGATTCCTGTTTTCAAAACAGAAACTGTTGTTTCATTTGGATACATTTCCATAAGTTACAGAAACGTTTTTGTAAATTTTGACACAACTTCAAGAATAATGGATCAATACAATAATGGAAAAAAATATTAAAATATCAATTTTGTTCCATTCAATTAATTTAAAACGTGCTGTTAGCAATGGCAAGGTGTGCCCCTTGTGAGATCAAACTCTTGATTTGTTTTTGCCTAGATAGGGTTCATTATTGCTAGCTCAGAATATACAGGTGTACACCTCAATCAGGTAGGCTAACTTTGAGCATTAAAACTTCACTTCATGAGTGAAGACTATACTGTTGCTTATTGCAGTAAAGAATAGGATACTCAATAGCACCAATAATGTGTGTTATATAGGGAGCATTACACACAAAATGACCTTGACAAAATTTAAATATATAAATGCACAATTACACAAAATAATCTAATCATATGATCATTTACAGTGATAATGCGATTAACTTCATGTACCCTAACTGCTTGGCTTCATGCACTACCTTAAATGAGTAACTGGGCTAAGCAGACATAAATCAATCTCCTTTAACTACAAAATCAATGACCCAAATGACTCATCCAAAGTGTTTCAAATCCATTATCTCTGTCTGTATAGTTTGTGTAAATGGAAATTTTTAACCTTTTGGAAAAGAAAACAGTCAACTAACTACTGTCAACAGTTTTCTATGTTTGTGTCATAATAATGTCAGGATAATAATAATAATTTTGCTGTAAATACCACATAAAATATGGCATAGTACAGAAATAAATCCATACCTTAACAGGCTATAAACAATGATAATAATTACATACTTTTGAAATGATTTCGATTTGGGATGTTGTAAATGTAGGTAAGATGTAACAGTATACTCAAGGACACAAATTTTAAAAAACTCTGTAGAACTTTAAAATCAGCTTAAAATACTGAAATGGGTGAGTTGTTGGACCACTATGCGAAGCCGTGAGGAAGGTAGTATGAACAAATTTTAATCCAGTATTCCAAATCCAAGTTGTTAGGCAAGAGCGAAGTCAAAAGTAGGAGAACCAGGTCGGGTAGTCAAAGGAGTCAGGTCGAGAATAGTAGCGCTCGCACACTAGAGAAAACTGTGGAAGACTTTTCAATAGTGAGTGTAAGTAAGCCGGTGAAGAGTGTTTCATTATTTAAGAGAGAGAGATGTGGTGGGATAATTATTTCCTGGATGAGTGTGTGGAATTAAGTACAAGTGGGAATGCCCGGGTGCTTACAGGAGAAGGTACGAGTCATGACAAATACCTTCTGATTATATCTCAGGAATGTTAATAAGATCCAAGAACAACTATTATAAACTCAAAAGCTTTATAAACACCAAACTTTAAAAAAGACTATACCAATTTGTTGCATTGTGGCATTTATCCTTCTAAATTATACAGTACATCCCCTAAACACACATACAGTATACATTTTATTCCAAATAATCATTCTTAATCTATAAAATAGACATTTTGCAGCAATGGTTTTCGACTTCACAACAATATTCAATTTTCATATAATTCTTATCATTTTCAATAACTGCTTATTCAATCAGGGTCACAGTGGCCCTTAGCCTATCCTGGGAAGCGTTGGGTGCAAGACAGGATATATCCTGGATGGTTTCCTAGTCCACTGCAGGGCACACACAGACACAAACAAGCACACACTCACACACAATTTTTACAGAAACCAGTTAACCTACCATGTTTTGGACTGTGGGAGGATACCGGAGTACCCGGAGAAAACCCACATGAATAAGGGGAGAACATACAGTACAAACACAATGTTGATAGCACCCCATATCCAGAATTGAACCCAAGGCCCTGGCAGTGCTTACCACTGTGCCACCCTTGTGCAAATACTGTATATTTGTATTATTTGTTACCAGAAAGAAGCATGAATATTTAAAATGAATCTGAATTTGTTTATGTCTTATTAGACAGATCTTATTTGCGTAGGATCTGTGGACTGAGATTTTCCTCAAGGGGCTTATGCATGACATCAAAGTACAACCCATGCACATGTCTACTGTATATGCATATTTTCTTACCATTGCTTTAAATCTAGATTTTGATTTAACAAAATTAAAAGATGATATTTTTCTTAGATTCAATATCACCTATCTTTGTCCACACTTACCTGCAATTAGTCTAATCTACTGGCATGCATATGTTCATGTACTGTACATGTGAATAATTAATGGAGTTTAAAAGGTCCAGGAGGAGATCATACTATTATCCTGGAACAAGTAAAGGTTTATTCCATGCTGAAAAGAGAATAAAAGAAACACAAAGTTTTGGCTGTGGAGATTTCTTCAGGTGTGTTGAAACATTGTGTTTCCTTTGTTCTCTGTTGAGCATGGAATAAACATTTGCTTTTTCCTTTGCAACCTACGCATGCTGATGCAGCTACCTACTTGAAATACTATTATCCTGCCTATTTCTGCTTACCTACATACATAAATATCAAGTTTCTAGCTAACTAGCTGGTGCATTTCATTGTATACTTGGTGTTTGCTCTCACTGGAGACAGACCTTACCTTGCAACTCTCCATGCTTCTTGCACCTGCTCAAACGAAACTAATCTCTAATTCTCCTACTGGTTTTGAAAACTAAAGAATTCCTGACAATTTGAAAGAAAAATCAAACATTAGAGCTGCTTTTCACAGTGCAGCAGCTGGTCTTGCATCTGACCTTAGTCTAATCCTTTCCAGACACACCAGTTGCAGTTTGCTTGCAACTTTGTCAGCACTTGAGCCCACCTTCTGTCCTGATTATCTTTTCCGAACACATTTTTCATTTTCCAAAAAAAGAAATCAGCCATGATAGTTTGACCTGACACAATCTGTTCACCCTAGTCCCTTTGTTGCACTGCCATCTTCCCTAACCAGGTACTGTACACCCCTGGTACTGCCCCCTGTTACTTCCTCTGTCACCATCTTTTCTCTCTTCCCTTAACCAGTCACTGCCATGGAAGAAAAAGAGAGAGGCAAGAACAGACAAGTTGAAAAGAAAATATGCAATTTATTTCACAATTACTTTACATTATCTTTCTAGAGACAGATCTTACTGTGCTAATGTCAATGGTTTATTCTTCTTCAACACCTTTGAAGGAAATACAACTCCAAGTGTCACTGACTCAGCAAGCCACTTAAATCCAGACTGATTTGGAACTGAATTTCTCCGGCAGCATTTTTCCAAGTTTCCAAACGATTGATCTCTCCTTGCTGACATCTATCACCTTATCCAGCTGCACTAGTTTGCTAGCAACTCTTCCAGGAGCCGAATCCACCTTCAGACCAAATGCATATTTTTTCCAAAGCCATCCACCCCAGTCAATCCTCTTCACGCTTTGGAAACAGCCTCTGGACTTGCTATGCTGTCTTCCTTCTCTCTCTTGACTTGTCCCAATGAGGCCTCTCCACGGGCTTTGTCCATAACCACCCCACTGTCTGTGTGCATTCTTTTCTCTTGTTGCTCCTCTCATAGTCCTTTCCAGATCCACTTTTACTCCTTTTCCCTTTCTTCTCATTTCATTTTCTTTTTATTGTCAGGTGTGTTACTCACTTATAGTACCTAGGCCCCAGCAAGATGTCTATCCTTCCCTTTTTCTATCCAAATATTTACCCTATCCACAGGAGCCAGCCTGGCCAGTGATGCTTGCTTCGCCCAAATTCGGTCTGGGCTCCTCCTTCAGAACTATTGTCTACTACAGACAACTGTCACCCTTAATTCTCCTTTTGAGTCTAGTATCCGCATATGTGTCTATGAAATAGGTTGCAACTTTTGTGTATTGCACCCAGTCTCCTCTCAGTCTAGGTGTTTAGCTCCATACTGTTTCTGATGTTCTGGTTAACTGCCTCCCTTCAGTGGCCTCTCTGACTAGTGACAGCCCCAACATTCACCTCACTTTCCTGCATGAACCTCCTTTCCTTGTTCTGCATTGCATTTAAAATTGTGCTTATTAACTTTGTCATCTCTTCAGATGCATGAGGAAAATTAGCATTAAAAAGGTCAAACAAAGTCAATTTGAAAAATGTAAAAGTAAAAATATATATTGTATTTTTTTCTCATTGATGCTTCAACCATTCAATCTTTTTTTATCTTGACTCAGGTTTATTTGACATCTCTAGATAATGTCCTTGATTTTATCCTTTTTGCACTTCCTTGCCAGAAGCCGGGGGTTGCTTACAATCAGAGACGGCTTGAGCAAATTTTCCAAGAAGAACGGAAAAATATTTCACCAATCCTATGTGTAAATTTGTTAGATACTTGACCAAAAGACTTGAAGGGATCATAGCCATGAGTTGTACTGAGGAACAGTCAGAGCTTCCTTGGTCAAGGTTAGGTTGCCAAGTTTAAGCTTTGGTTTTGACTAAAATATAATTGATAATGATAGAGCTTTTTAATGAGCACCCTTTTAATGACAGTAACACGCTTTTAATGAGAAATGAGAAGTTACGTAAAAGCAGAAGGTTGTGACATTGAATCTTTAGCTGAGACAGTAAATACTCAAATCTTCTCTCAATATCAATAAGGCAGCTGTTAAAAAACCTGCTCATAATGTCATACAGCATACATAGAACTCAACATAAAGCTCAACCTCAAGAGCATCGTGGACTATGAAGTACCATTTTGAGAAATAACACCATGCCACAAACACATCTTTTAAGCTTAATAATATATTTAAAACCTGAATGCTTTAACTCTAGACCTCTAAGGGTAAGATAAAGTCACAATAAATTTACAGTAAAAACTTATGGATTTTGGATTGATAGGTTAAATAACTTTGTCAAAGATGACAAAACAAAAACACATGAAAAGATTAATTAAGATTAATTCAGACAAAACATCAGAAGAATAATAAACTTACAGATAAAACAGCAGCCAAGGTCTCAATACCTCCAGTGCTCAAGGTAATGTAAGGAATCAATTCATTAGCAAAGCCTGCTTCTTTGAGGATGCTGTTTGTGTAGAACCATATCTAATAGGAGAAATGAAGATGAAAAGGCTTTTAAATCAATAATTTGTGAATTGTGGTATGATATAAAAGTTTTACTTTTTAAAGTTTGACTTATAAAACTCACTTTACATGTGAGATCAAATTTCCTAGTTCATTTGCTTTTGAAGTCCTGCTTTGTCTTCAAATATTTGTGAAGACAACGAGCTTTTAAACTAGTGGTTTGTGACTTAAGAAAAAAAAAACAAATTAGTCTGAAACAGTTGTGTAATCATAAAACAACCAAAATACGAAAAATGTGTTGCTAGACTATTACACAGGCAAGTTTAGATTATAATACCTTGCAGTTTAATAAAAATAGTTTGTAATTCCTTGTTTTAAAGTAAATAACACAAACACCAACTACCACTTAAAAAAAAATAGAAAAGGTGTGGATTTATTTGATTAATATGAATAATAACAATCCATGTGTCTTGTGTATTTTAAAAAAAAAAAAAGGCCAGCAATGTGACAACAATAAACTGGTCTGGTAATCCATGCATAACTATTAAGAAACAAGTAATTTTAAAAAATGGTACTGCTGGAGCTCAATGGTTTTATCCTGCCCGTATACACTATTTCCCAAAAAAGTAATTTCCTAATTACCTTGAAAATGATATTACAAATAAAGGTTCATAACAAAATTAGATTTAGTTCTGCATACCTTAATAGTCAGGCAGTATTCTACAACTGTTAAATGCATATGTGGTGTTTTGGCAAGCATGTTAGAAACCTGATCAGAATTTTAATCTTTGGAGTTGCTGCTTTAAAACATTTCCAAGGTCAAGCCACATCTATGCTAAAGCTCAAAATCTTCATCACTAAAATGCCAGTGTATCTAAATCTGTTACTGACATTTCAGCTATGCACAAGGGAATTAATTAGATAAATTGTTGAAGCTTTAAGAATAATTACTGTGAAATTGTTTCCACTCTCCTTTAAAATATCTTTTTTCACTATGACTTTTTCCTCTTCTCATTTGTATAGTCTTATGTACATTAGCACATTGTCTTTTTTCATTTAAATGTTTAAATTTAGAGAGAACAGACTTTTCAATAGTTTTCATGGTAAGAATTTGACATAACAACAGTTTTTAGTTATAATATTTAGTAGGGGCAAAAGGTTAGAAAAATATCTTAATAGTAGTTATAGTCAATTGTCATGAAAGTGTGCAGGTTCTAACATTGTAGTTCACAAGTGATGGAATATTTTATATCACTATTTAAGGAGTGAAGAAAAAGGAGCTAGCATTCTTGATACACATAAGCACTACATTTTCTAAGATCTTGCTGATATCTCTTCTTTCATTTAGAAGTCTTTTAATGCAGCTATATTGTAATAGATCAATTATTCATTTATTCTACTTACACTCTGTAGACAATTGTATTGTATTGTTTAAATTACCAAATGCTGAAACATTTTAGAAATCTTAATGTAAAATCAAGACAAACATTACATGGAACAAAATCTAAATTCTTTATATATTCAGGTTGTAAAATTATTTCATCTTTGGTAAACACATTTCTGACAAATTATGTGTATTGTTGTGCACATGGTACATTTATGTCAAGTATGTGTATTTAAGTTAATAGTACAAGTTCTGTCCAGCATTGTCTGAAGTATGAGTGTGCAAATGGAATAGAAATGTTATGTACTCATTCCATTTGGTTTCTAAAGCAACTGTAAGAGCAATGTGATTTGAAGGTTCATGCTGATGTACAGCTCTGCCCAACTTATCCAACATGCTTGATTAATCTATCAATAAGGTAAAGTGATACATGATTTGAGTGACCACTACTTTGGGGCAGTGAGCATTATTGAGCTGAAAAATTGAATGACTGCATTGATATTGGTGTTGCTGTGACTAAGAGGGTAGCACAGGCACCAAAAGTAGTCAGAATACCACTGCAGAGAGATTATGATCAGCAAAGACTATAAGGATTATGAAGCCCTCTTAAAATTGGCATGACTGGTCATTCACGCTATTATACTATCTCCACTAAAGAGATAACAATCCAGACTCAAACAACTTATTTTCTATACACTGTTTCACTGGGATGGTGAAAAAGGTAATAATAAAGATAAAATTGTATATTCTCTATAGCAAGTGGGTTGCATTAGATTTTACATTTAAATTGAGTGTATGCCCTGAAAAAATAACTTTGAATATCCACAATGTCCTTTAATGTCCTCGAACTACATTAAAAATCTCATTTCTTATTATTTAAGGTAAATACTTACTATACAAGAATAACAAAAAACAGGTTTGTAATGAGCAGAACAGATCACTTTTTGTCAGATATTTAAGATGTTTATTTTGTGCTCCTGTGCTTGAGGTCTTGGCACGTTTTTAAAGATGTTCATTGATAGAATAATGATGTCAATCCCTTAGGTTTAGATTCATATCAGAGTAGTTTTCTTCTGCCCATCTGTTGCCCAGTTGTACATACGAAGATTATGTATTATGGGAGGCAATGCAGCTAATAGCACAACCACAGCTGTTACACATGCATAAGTCACTTTAACCTGAATGGATGTACATAGAAATTAATAATTTCAGCAACTTGCAGAATAGGTTCTAACCTGTAAATCACAGGTGGGATAGATAAACACTAACACACAATGGATGCATTAAAATCTTTTCAGGTTTTGAAGTAGATATCTAAGATTTTGTTTTTAACCTGTATTTGAATGCATTTTATACATTGAAAAATAAGTTATTTCAATGCCTTTAAACATTAAGTCTATATCCCACTTGACCTTGGATATATGCTGAAAGGTTTATGACATATTACTCCTGAGAGATGTTGAATTCAACTTTAGTATGGATGATGTTAATATCCTTTCTGACTCAAGCTTTCTAAAAGGTATTCATTTACTAAGGTATCATGGTAGAATAAGAAAGATCTACTTTTAACTGCATCAGGAGAAAAGTTGAATGTACAGTACATCATGCTTAGAACTCATTGTGGTGCTATTTAATAAACTCCTGAAAATCAGAGCTTGTTTTGTACTGCAGTTGTTTAATTCTGGTTCATGAGGAATAAGGTTCTGACAAATAGAGAAAAACATGACAAATCTATCATCCCAAGAATGCTGCATTTATCTTGCTCTGTAAAACATTCTGAGACAAAGTTCTTTCCTTACAGGTGCTGGATTTAGTTTAGTTATTTTTTGGATTTATAGCTCTTCTAAAGTGTAAATTATTATTTTAATTATTTTAATAAGATTATTTTGATAGTTACTTAAGTAATAGGTTTAATCCATGCTGAAAAGAGAAGAAAGAAAACACAACGTTTCAACCGTGGAGCCTTCTTCAGGTGTCAGAAAAACAGGGCAGTAGGCGAAGGTAATGTAGCATAGTAGAAAAAAGCTGGGAGAGAGGAGGGGCAGAGGCAGAAGGGGACAGACAGAGTGGCCAATCAGGTAGTGTGAAGTCAGGATAGGTGAAGAGAGGTATGAAATGAAACCAACAATGAATAGAGAGACTTTAGAAGAAAATGAGGAAAAGGGGAAAGGTGTGATCCTAGTTACAGGATAATTTTAGATTCTGTAGTCTTTCTGATGTGGGTGTTAGGAAAACCATCTTTGAGAACACAGACAGAGAGATTAGTGTGATCATGGCCATCAGAGGTGAAATGAGAAACACTAGGCTTGGAGAAAACTTTAATCTTCACAGCCCTAATGTGTTCTCTGAAAAGGTCTCTGAGTCTCCTTCCTGTTTCCCCAATGTATATGGCAGGGCATTTACTGCAAGAGATACAGTAAATAAGGTTGCTGGAGGTACATCCGGGTGATTCAGAATTGTCCTGAGGGGCCTTGAATGAGTGCGGTGTTAGATTTGTATTTGCAGGTGATACAGTGATACAGTGAGCTCTGTTGCAAGGGAAAGTGCCTGGTGTGGATGGTTGCTGAGGGCGTTCAAGGGAGCTGTGAACAATAGAACAAGGGCCCTTGACCGCCCTCAGCAACCATCCACACCAGGCACTTTCCCTTGCAACAGAGCTCGCTATATCACCTGCAAGTACAGGACATACTGTATCTAACACCACACTCATTCAAGTCATAATAAAATACATATGTAATTTGATATATTTATTAATAAACCCTCATATTTCTTAGTTCAGGCGGGTAGCTGCATCAGCATGCGTAGACAGCAAAGGAACAACAGGTGTGCCGAAGAAGGCTCCACAGCTGAAACGTTGTGTTTTCTTTCTTCTTTTTTAAGCATGGAATAAACCTATTACTTGTTCCTTTGCCACATATGTCTTTATAAATGCTAATTTTAAAGTGAACATTTAATCTGTTATTGTGTTTGCTTACACACAACATGAAATAAATGGCAATCCATACTTACAGCATTTAATCCACATAGTTGGTAGCAAGCCATAGTAACAATAACTGTGATGATCTGCCATCGAACAGAACGATCACGGAACAGTCCCATGATGGAGATTAGCTGAAGAGTGTTCTGGGCTCTTAGCTCAGCATGGACTTCATCCATTTCCTCTGAAACATCATCTTTCCCAAGAAAAGCCTGAAATGCTGGAAAGAATTTTAATATCACTTACTGTGCTAATCAAGTTGGCTTAGAATTGTATCTATGACACAACATTGTTTTTCAAAAAGGAATAGGTGGTGTTTTTGGAAAGGGTGCATACAGCTTTCCTTTACTTTATCAAAGTTGGGAAAGTGTTTCTATTGTAAGAACATACAGTATGAACATAAAGTTTGAAAATGAGAGGAAGCTATTTGGACCATCTAGTTCTTTTATTTGCTAATATGATCTCATCCAGCCGTTTCTTCAAATTGCTAATGTATTATCTTTGACAACCTGGTTGTCAACTAACCTATTGAGTTAACTATTTCGATATCTTTAAGCATTCTGGATTTTTGATCATGCACTTTTAGAATTTTTCCATTCTGATTTTATGTGAATTAGAATAATTATTTAGCCAAAAATGCTTACATCGTGTTGTTATTTGCAGAAGAAGAGTATTTGTTTGAAATTAGATCTAATCAGAGCTAGAGTAGATCAAGTTGTATCCACAGAGAATTATCATCTGGAGATTTTGAAAGCTGCTAGAAGCGAAAGTCAAACAGCTCGCTGTTCAACTGATTAAATCTTAATTGCAATAATATTTAATCACAAGAGTGATGGATATTCCACAGTTAGGGGAGTTCTTTCTAGTGAGCAAAGGAGAATAATAATGTGGTACTGTATGCCCCTTTACAATTTTTTACTGAAAGGAAAACAAGTGAGGTAAATGAAATGCCTGTGGAAGGAATTAAATTGGGAGCTATACACTTCACAGGAAATTAATTTATTTCCAAAGTCTAAAAGTTTATAATAGGTAAGATGTGTATTGTTTGCTGATTTTGCAAATGAATAACTTAAAGCAGGGAGACACGATGGTGCAGTTTTAGCATTGCTGCCTCCAAGCACTCCAATGCACATTACTCCTGTCTGAATACTTAATAAAATGTTTTTCAACCTAGCCGTAGACAATTCTGGGGCTCTGTGTTTGCATGGACAGGTGTTCAGCAGTCCTAAAAAGTTAACATAGCAGGTTAATTGGCTCCTAGAAATTTTGGCCCTGGTGTGAGTGTGTGCATGTCTGCATCTGTGTGTGGCCCGCAACAGACTGGTGCCCTGTCCAGGGGTATCACATCTTGCATTAGTTATTTGACAGGATAGGCTTTGGCTCCTACAGAACACTGTTTTGGATAAAGTGATTAGAAAATGGATGGATGTAACTATTTTGTCATCCTCTGCTGTGTTTGATAATTTGTCCACTCTGCTTTCAGTATGTCATTATTCATAGGTCTATTGTTTATTTCTTCTTAGACTTACAGTTAATGCAAAAGTCCTCAAAATAATTTTCTTTGTATTTTTGTGAATGCAAAAACTTTGGAATGTGAGAGCGCATATATTAAACAGATGTGCTGTGTGTATAAACACAATAGAAACGTATTTATATGTATTATATCCTGTATGAATATAGAAATAGGTTTTTCCTATATTCATACAGCATGGAACGGACATTTACCTGTTCCTTTGCATCCTACACATGCTCCCTACTAGAACCTCTGTATGAATATATGAAGAAGAATAAAACCATGTAAAATAAAATATGTATTACATTTAAGAACAGAGTTTACATTCATTAAAAAATATAAAATTGCATTAATTGTAATACATATCTTTGAGTGTCCTTATTCATAATACTTGATTCTTTCATTCTTATATCTATAATATTTTTATTCTTAGACTGACTATTTAAACAGTTCAGATTATGTTTACACTACTGGCATGTTCTGCTATCATTCTAAAAATGCAAATGCAAATTAACATTTAAAACTGGTTAATAGAAAGAAACAGTATGATTACTCATATACCACACACAACTCTATGAGGACTACTAGGCAGGTGGGTCACTTTTCAGACCATAAAGTAGTCTGAAGACTTGGATGCCATCTGGAAGGAATTAGAGCAAGTTACATCACTTGCCCCTCCCTGGGATTGAACCCAGAACCTTCCAGTCAGAAGTTAGACACCTTTGCTATCTGAGCTACCATAGCTCTGTTAGGACTACTAACCTTCCTAATTGATATCAATCATATACATTCTCATATAGTTAAGATGTTTGCAGATTATACTAAATTAGGAGATTTAGCATTTATATACTTAAATGTGGAAGTAATAATAAGGGAGACAGAATGTAACAATATACTGTACAGTTAATGATTAAGAAATAAAAGGATGGGGTGTTTTTACAATGAATATGTCAGTTCCTATTTAGAATATTATATATACTGTATATGGTCACCACATTACAAAAAATATATTCTGTATATATTGCTGCTCTGGAAATAGTTCAGAGAGAAGTGACCAGATAAATTCCAAGACTCTGAAAAAAGAAAGGGTTGAAGAAGTAAATCATTTTAGTTTTGAACGGTGTCACGAGATCAAGGGTTAGGGTTAGGGTTCACCCTAACCCTAACCCCATCGGGGTCAATTTAATAAGGCACAATTAATTAACCAATCTCCAGCTTCCACTCTTTACCACACCTCCCCAGAATCAGGCTACTTAAACACTCTTCACTAGGTTTCTAGTGTTCAGTATTGCTTTCCCAAGAAGATCTTTGTTTCCAGGTCTTCTGTAAACTACCTTTGTTCACTATCGTTCCCAGATTTGAATATTGCCTCAACAACAACTTCGGATCACGGATTTCGTGATTTATAGCATTATATCAAGCTTAGTGAACAACGCAGTTCTACTCAAATAAGCCAACTATAGCTGTAAAATAATTAATGATATCATATTTACATTTTTCATTCTTATATTTAATTTGTAATAGATCATTATCCAAGCGATTGGTTAGAAGGATGTACATACTGTTGTTGACTATTAAGGCTAAAGAATCTTTTTCTTTTCTTTAGAACTGCAACTTGTCAGGAAACAGTTCTTTCCGGGCCCTATGCGGACGACACGATCCGAAAGGTGAAGAAACAATAGGGAAAAATATCATGCTGGAGTCGGTCAGAAGACAGAGGGGCGTGTCCATGCAGTGCTGGTGTCCGGGGGGAGTGAATCCAGGGTGAACAATCCAAGGGTAAATCCAGAGGGGGAATCCAAGACGGGAGGTTTAGTCCAAGACCAGGGAATCCATCCGAAGTTAAAACCAGAACCGGGTCGGGACCGGCGGGGCAGGAAATCAGGAACAAGAAACTAAAACCATAACGGAGCCAGACGCAGCAGGACCCCGGGCTCTCACGATGCGGAAATCAATGAGAAGCCCCGAGCAGTCGTCTGCGTCTGGCTTTAAAGGTGGAACTAAAGAGGGTCTGGAATAAGAAACAGGTGTGGGGAATGGGAGAAAACGAGGAAGGGCTGGAGCACCCTTAAGAGGAGGAGTAACAATTGTGACACAACTACAAAACAAACACAAAAAACCTCTTTGAAAATGAGAGGACAAGCTTAACCACAATGCCTGTCACCAGCGCAGAAACAAGCAGCTGTTCACTGGCGCCGAATTCAAATGCTTGCTGAAGGTTCTCGGCCAAAATTGGTCACTTTCAAACGGATTAGCGAAATTTCGTTTTTGTAATGAATTACAAGGTACAAATTCTTTGTGTTTGGTTTAGCGGAAACTCGTATACCAAATGTTCCGGGGATTTGATAACTTTTTGTTGGTCTTACTTCTATCATGTATTTTTCTGCCAGTCTGGGCAAAAGATACAAACTCCACACAGATAGCATCCCAGGTATTGTACCCAGGGCCCAGGCACTGAAAATAAGCAATACTAACCACTATACCACCCTGCCAGCCCATACCATAAAACAACACCTTGATTTTTTTTATTTTTTCCTGAAACTGCCACAAGAAGAATGAACAACTTTATTGTTAACTTAACTTATAAATGATAACTTAATTTTGATTTTGTCTAGATCATGTATTTTAAGCTACTAAAGCATATTAGTTGCAACTTAATCACCAGCCAAGAGCTGTGTCTTAGTTACTTATAGTAAACTCATTTCCATCTCCACTTTTAGAACAAGGTTGCTCAAACAAAGTACCTTTCTTTGCTCCAATAGAATCTTGCTTCTCCATAAGCAGGTACCGAGGGCTCTCGGGAAGAAAAGGCAGTACAAAGAGCTGAACCAAAGCAGGAAGCATAATGAATCCAAAAAGGAAATTCCAGTGGGACTCCTGCAAAACAAAATAAATATAAGGAACAACAATGCGGAAACATTTTAGTTCAAGTCACACACAGTTGCTGTCCTTTGATTTTTTTACCTGTGATTGTCTATTGAAAATCTAAACAAAAGTGTAAACTCAACTTTAAATAAAAATAAACCAAACCATAACAAACAGATCTTGTACTTTAAGTTGTCTATAGTTAACCAATTTGGGTCCCAGAATTAATCATTAAATAAAATCAGGCAGCCCCCTAATAAAGACACTGTACATACTGTACAATTAGCCATAACTCATGGTGTTACTGTTCTGAGTTTGGCCACATGATACCTCAAAAGTGTATGGTATTGTTGTTTCTGTCCCTCAAACTCAGGGGTCTCAGACACAGTTACACCGCAGGACCCTAATCTTTGTGGCTGATGATGAAATATTTGTTCTCTCAGAAACAACTTTGTTAAGAATTGCTACACTTCTCCAGTTCTATATCTTTATGTTTTAACAAATAAGTTACATTAACCACAGTTTCTGTTTCTATCAGTGGTCAGCGCAAACTTGCATTACAACCCTGAGTAACAATTCTTAGGGTTTCCGTCCTTGCCGCTCCTGCCCTGCAAGTTAGTCCCTCACTGCCTGGGCGCGAACCCGGGTCTCTGGTGTCATGCAACAGGGAACTTGCCAGCTGAGCTAAAAGAGAACTCCCTCAGCCCGGGCGGCTGAGATCCCTGTTATACGCAGGGTCATATTCGTTACACTTGCTTGAGAGTATATTCAGAAGATTCTAATATTGTGAAAACATAGAGCATGGACTACTGTACACTTATAGCAATACACAACTAAAGTAAGCAGGTAAACATGAATATTCTATTTCAAACTTTGTAATTGGAGCTGTTCATTAGTACGTTTTAAAGCATTCTTATTTCTATACACATATTTTGTTATATTTATTAAGTGTCACAATGAAAAATATTTGTATTTAGCATATATTCAGGAAACTAACTGAAATACTTTCTCTTATCAGTCTCTTATTTGTCTGTAAATACTGTATATTGATGTATCAATAATAATGAAGGTATTTAACATACTGTATATCATTTATTTTTTTATTTCAGTTCTACTCAAGGAGCATTTTATCTAGAATGCCATCACCATTTTTAGAAACTCAGGCTTAATGGGAAACCCCACAGATGAGAAGTCTTACATTTTGGCAGCTGAGCTGTTACCGGCAGGACACTTATAATAATAATCATTTGCAAGTGCTCAAGCTCAAACCTGTTTTTAAAAACTTTGAAAAGATAACCAAGGTTATAATACAACACACCCATACTAAGTGCATCACACAAATTTTACTGAACCAGAGAAAATGTTTTTCAAACCACTAGACAACTACAAAATAATCATAAAATAAAATATTGTGTATCTCATAAAACTACAGCATTAAAATAAATCTGTAAAACCTGTTTTCAGTGTAGCCCATTTTAAGGTGTACAGTTTTATATTTACTTGCATGCTGATTATATTGTTTTTGGAGTTTAATTTGCTTTGTGTGATAGTTTACATATGGTAACACTTGGATATACTAAGCATAACAAATATTCCTTAAAAGGCTAATAAAATAAAGCTAAGTGTTTTGTCCAGTCCTACAACAGAAAAAGAGTAATTTATACTAAGCGATTAATAATAGAAGATGATAAAGACATAACCAATACATTATGACTTTGAGTCGTAACTCTGAGTTAATGAAAACTCAGGGTTTTATAACAGAAGACATTGACAACATACCCCATGTTATAGAAAGAGTTCCAGAAGTTTGGGGTAATTTTAGCATAAATGACTTTCAGGTTCTACAGGGACTAGCATTGTTAAAAATCAATAAATCATCAGTTCTCAGTGGTAGTGTCCCAGTCATGTGAAAGGAAGTGAGTGATGTTATTCTTAGACCCCTAGCTAGTATATTTCAGATTTCATTTACAATAGGAGTAGCACCTAAAGTTTTCAAACTTATAAATGTGAAACGTATTCATAAAAAGGAGGAAAAAACTGATCCAGGAAATGATAGACCTATTTGTCTTAAATGCATGACAAGTAAGTAAATTTAATTTTAATTGTAGCTAAATTAGAGGAATACTTCAAAAAAGTACATTATGAGACAGCCAAGGGTATTTAGAAAGGGAAAATATTTTAAAGGGCATTATTTTTTAAAATAAGCAACAAGAATGTTAGGTTATACTAATGCATATGACATTAGCCATTTTTATTTCCAGAAACAATTTCATAAGATTACTCTTAAAAAAGCTGATCGTTTTTATTAAAAGCATTATGAATCCTGTGGTAAATGAACAAAAAGCAATCCATTATTTCAAGGCACACAACCTCCTATTGGGCAGATGTAAGTGGTGGTGTCCCACAGGTAATTGTTTATTAACCCTTTGCTATTCCTGATCTTTCTCAAATATTTAGAGTGTTATATAATTAGTATTCTAGTTTAGTTTGAATATAAAACACAGAAACAGGGGTAAGAATTAGAACATGACTTGGCAACATCACTGAGCAGTATTTGGTAAATAATATTTAATACTGATAAGTATTGGTAGTAGTGTTTTATGCTATGCAATGTACTATACAGAACATAAGAAAGGTTACAAATTAGAGGTGGTCATTTGGTCATCTAGTCTGTTATAAAACAATAGAAAGGATAACCTTAGAAAGAGTTTAATAAGAGTTTAATAATAAGAATGATTTCTCAACTCAGAGTTGTCACGATTATAGTCCCCTCTCCTTAAGGGTGCTCCAGCCCTTTCACTAAAGACTTTATTCTGTGCACCTGTTTCCCATTCGCAGTCCACCTTAAAAGCCAGGCGCTGACGCTCATCCGGGCTCTGCATCTGATTTCCATATCGTGCAAGTCTGGGACCTGGAAGCGCCTGGTCCCGTTAAGGTTTTAACCTCTGTTCCCGTTCCTGTTCCCCGTCCGCTGGTTCCGACCCAGCCTTCGTGGTTTTTAATCCCTTCTTCTGATGGATCTCCTGGTTTTGGACTTACCCTTGCGTTTTGGATACTCTATGGACTACTCTTGGATTGTTCGCCTCGGCCACACCTCCCCCGTGCACCAGCGCACCTTGGACACGCCCCCCTGTCTTCTGCCCTGTTTTCCTGCATGACATTTCCCCAATGTTTCCCCACTCCGTCGGACTGTGTCGTCCGCATAGGGTCCGGAAAGAACTGTTCGTTACAAGAGTATTGACGTACATGGACAGCTTTAGAACACTAAAGTCTCTACTGTGTATGACTGATAGGAGATTAAGTCAAGTATACTGTATAAAATCTTAAGAAATATAGATGGGGTCAAACCAAGGATCTGGTTTTACACTCAGAAGTGAAACAAGAACAGTGGATCAAAATTGGAAATGGAAAAAAAAATATTTTGAAACTTATTTATTTATTTTAAATGTCATGAAAACAAACTTCTCAGCCAGGTAATTGAGACAAAAACTCAGGGCTGTTTTAATACTCTGCTGAACAAAATTTTAGATTCACTTAGCTGCTGAACAAACAAGCAAGCAAGATGGGTCTCCTCTCATTTGCAACCTTTTTATATTATGATAAAGAAACTAATACTTCTAGATAAGTTCAGGAACTGCAAGAATAAAGATAATTAAAGTGCATTTGTTTCCTTCAAGGACACCAAACTAAAGTGGCATTTTGGGATGTGTGAATAAAGTATGTGTGTTACCCCTTGAAGGTAATATCTTTCACCTCCTTGGTACAAATAATCGAGATCTTAGGAATTACTTTTAAAGATTGAGGCCACAGAAACATCTTAAAAAGATCAAATTGGCTTCTTTCCCAGTGCCATGGGAAAACAAAACAGGGGAACATGCTCTGCATACTTATGATCAGTGACAACCATAGGCAATTTCAACAACATGCTTTGTTGGGGATTGTATGGGAACTCCATATGTCTATCATTTTACCAATTAATAAACCAGTAAAACTACATTTCTGCCACCAAGTGCAATTTCAACAATGAAATAAAAATCCCATAAAAGAAAAGCCTATTTGGTAATATTTGCTGAGACCTTTAAATGAATACTATAGGAGTGAAAATAAATAACTGATCTGTCTCAAGGAGGTTTAAGGTATAATATTCCATACTGACTTTTTAAATAATTGATCTCTTCTTTTTAGTATTTTTTTGTATAATAAACTAAAAGATTCTGTATTCAAAACAATTACATTGGATACATTATTGCTTCTCACAGTTATAAAGAGCTGAGGTTTTATTTTAGCCAATTGTTAAATAGTCCATGAAAAATTAATTTGGAAAATAAATTATGTATAAGATGAGTCTCGTTTCAAATGAGTTTTTGAAAAAAAAAACAATTTTCCCTTGAAATTCAGTACATGGTCTAACAAGAGAAAATATATTTTCTATGTGTAAGTACTTGTAGACAGTAAACTCCCCCATACTGTATACAGTATGGAAGAAACAGAGTGAACAGGAATCGGGATATAAGGCTTTTTCAGATAGATGATGTTACGACCCCAAATGTCTAGGGGAAAAGGGGTGTAACATTTAGGATAATTCTTTTGGAAACAGAGGGGTTTTGGTGAGGGACTAGGAAGTATGATAACAAGGGTAAGGAACTAGAGTGGTGCCAAAGGAAAGAAAATAACAAACAAAATGGAGCTGGCTAGGACAGTGAGGGAAAGCTAATCTGACTACAAAAGAAACCCCGAAACACACGGTCTTCGGCGTCTTCAACACCCTAGCTAACCCGACTACCCAAAACCATACAAGACAAACGGCACTCACCTGTACTAAACTAGTGTACTAATACAAAATCAACTAAGTGTGTAAGTGTACCCAACAACCTAAACTAACCTTATATACTAAAGTTCACACAAAAACACAAGTGAACCAGGAAGACAAATAAGGGAAAACAAGAGTAATAAATAGGAGCAGGGTACAAAAAGAACACAAACGTTGAACGTGTAACACTGGGGCAAGGTAA